TTTTTCTTTTTGAGAATATTTGGAGAATCTTGAATCTACGTGCTACTACGAGTTTGTATTTAGTGGTCGTTTTCTTTTTCTTTTTGAGAATATTTTTGGAGAATCTTGAATCCACGTGCTACTACGTTCATCGTTACGAGATATTACAATATGAGCTTTGATATTTAGTATATTTGGCCGTGAGCGTATTTTAATTGGAGGATCGAGCAGAGGATAAATTTTGTTATTACGACACAGTGAGATGTGATACACGAATTACGATAATAACAATAGAGAAACTTACCCTGTCCAGGAGCCGGCGACGTGGCGTGGCTCCAGCCTCCTTTGTACGAGCTGCTGGCATCTGTGAACAGGCGAAGAGGGACGCCGATGAATCGAGGAATATATTCGTATAATCGTATCTCTCTCTGATAACGAAATTTTAAATATTGAACGAACGAAAGGAAGGAAGAAAGGAAGGAAGGAAGGAAGGAAGGAAGGAAGGAAGGAAATCGTCTCGAGATCGATCGAGAGTTTAAAAACGAAGCTCCTCGTTCGTGATCCCTAAAGAAGAGATTGCACCATTTTTCTCTCTTCCTTTCCTTCTTTCCTTCTTTTTCGGGTCACGTTGTTATAACAAACGTGTGCAATTGCAAGGTAATCAGTTCTGGGGATCTCTGGTGGCAGTAAAAATAATAATCTGATCGCTGGTTTTATTTTTTTTTTCTTTCTCCTTTTTCGTCGAAAAACGATTTCCTTACGGAAAAATCTTTACGACCCTTTAACGACGTTACGCCTCCCTTCGAGTCGAAGAGAGGTGTGCACCATTACGATTAAACTCGGTCACTCGGTTCGGTTTACACTCGTGGCGTGTAACAATAGCGTTTCACCGATTTTTAGTTTAGTTTCGATCTCTTATAAATGGGAGGGAAGGTCTCTGGATTTTTTTTTTTTTGGAAACGGTGAGGGATGAAAATAAATAACGAGATGAAAAAAAAAGGTTTTAGATCGCGCTACTTGGTGAAATATATGGAGAGATTATTGGTTTTTCTTCTTCTGATTTTCTTTTGAGTTTAAAATATATCGAAACACGATCTCGTTTTGTTATTGAAAAAGGAAATTTGTGCACATCGTTCTTTCCAATCACGGAAAAGAATTCGTATCGAAAAATTCTTCGAAAATGGGTAAAATTAATAAAAAGTCGTGGAGATTCAAAGATTTCTCAAACTTGATATATTTAAACACGATTTGGATCAGTTTTCTTATGAAAAGAAAATTCATCCCTGTTTCAACATGTGCTCGCAAGTGAAAGAATTCCTTTTCTAATTTTCATATTTTCGAAAGTATTCGAAAATATTCTAAATAATCGCTACTTTAGGCTTGAAATGAATAAAAAATCATTCAAAGATTTTTTGAAATATTCCAAAAAGAATCTCGATCGTTTCCCTTATAAAAAAAATTCTTTCCCTAATTTTCATAACTTTCGAAAATGGATAAATTATCGAACTTAGAACACTACTTTAGACTCAAAACAAACAAAAAATTCTCATGTAGATTCAGAGATTTTTCAAACTTGAAATACTTCGATAACGATCTCGATCATTTTCCTTCTTTCGCAACCGAAACAATTCTTTTCCTAATTTCCATTTATACTTAAAACAAACCAAAACTCAAATGCAAATTCAAAAATTTCTCAAACTTAAAATATTTCAAAACGATTCGAATCATTTTCTTTATAAAAATTTTATAAAAATTCATCCTTCTTTCGCAACCGAAACAATTCTTTTCCCAATTTCCATATAAAAAAAACCTTCAAAAAACGGATAAATTATCGACCCAGAACACCCAGAACACTACTTCAGACTTAAAACAAACAAAAAACTGGATCATTTTCCTTCTTTCACAACCAAAACAATTCTTTTCCTAATTTCCATTTATACTTAAAACAAACCAAAACTCGTGCAAATTCAAAAACTTCTCAAACTTAAAATATTTCAAAACGATTCGAATCATTTTCTTTATAAAAATTTTATAAAAATTCATCCTTCTTTCGCAACCGAAAAAAAACCTTCAAAAACGAATAAATGATCGAGTAACCCAGAACACTACTTCACACTACTTAAAACAAACAAAAAAACTCGTGCAAATTCAAAAATTTCTCAAATTTAAAATATTTCAAAACGATTCGAATCATTTTCTTTATAAAAATTTTATAAAAATTCATCCTTCTTTCGCAACCGAAACAATTCTTTTCCCAATTTCTATATAAAAAAAACCTTCAAAAAACGGATAAATTATAGTAGAGTAACCCAGAACACTACTTCAGACTTAAAACAAACAAAAAAACTCATGCAGATTCAAAAATTTCTCAAACTTAAAATATTTAAAAATTTGAATCATTTTCTTTATAAAAATTGAATCATTTTTTTTATAAATTTGAATCATTTTCTTTACAAAAATTTTATAAAAATTCATCCTTCTTTCGCAACCGAAACAATTCTTTTCCCAATTTCCATATAAAAAAAAACCTTCGAAAAACGGATAAATTATCGACCCAGGACACCCAGAACACTACTTCAGACTTAAAACAAAAAAAATTCGTTCACTTTTCCCGCAAAAAGATCCTTCCCTCTATAATCGTCACTCGCGATCGAAACGACTCCCTTTCTTCCTTCCTTCCTTCCTTCCTTCCCCCTCCCCCCTAATATTCGAGATTCGTGTTTCTCGTTCACAACTGTGCACATTCATCCATAATATTTGCGAACGACGACGACGACGACGACGCGTATCGGTTTCACGTGGCGTCTCGCGTCGCACGAAAGAAATCTCCTCGATTTTCTGGCTCCGCCGCCAGTGTTCCCGAGCGCCGCCGGTCTGTTTGCAGACAGATATATTTTCATTTGGCAGTTATTGGCACGAGGGCGGCCCCCGCGTGTGTACACACGCGGGCCTCCTGCTCCTCTACGTCGTGCAGCTCTGCAGAAAGTCCGTGTTTCCGTGCAAACAGCACGGACCTTTTCGTCTTTGCTCCCCCCTCCTCCTCCCTTCATTTGATCTCGATCCATTAATGGAGAGGGGAGGGAAGGGGGATGGGCCTCGAATTTCACGTGAAACTCGAGGGATCGTCGCGATCGGTGACCCTCGAATTAATCGTGCTTCTCGTCCAATCGATCCTCCATTTCTCACAGTTAAATGCGTTGAAACTCGTGGAAGGATAAAGTTAAGAGAGTTTTCTTTTTCTTTTTGTCGAGAGAGAGAGAGAGAGAGAGAGAGAGAGAGATCGTCACGTGGCCGATTCATAATTGTTTCGCGAATCGCAGATTTTATAATAACGGAAATCTTAGAACGGGTGGAATATTATTGTTTGTGTACATTCAACTTGTACAATCGTTATAAATTGTCAGAGGATAAAATTGTTTTGCGATCCGCTCGTTTCGAGGCTCGATTTTTACTTTTACATAATTCGAAATTGTAAAAATATATATGATTCGCAATATTCTACGTTTTTTAAAAGAAAATCGCGTGAAATTGTAATAACGTAAGTTCACATATTGCGTATTTCGAGTACAATTAATTCGCTCGAAGGGTAAAGTCAACAAGAAACAATTCCTTCGATCGACGCGACGTACATGTACCTACAGAGATAAAGAAGACGAACGTTTACATATTTACGTTAATACAAAAAAAAAAAAAAATAATAAAACTTCATTTTCGAAAAAAGAGAAAGAGAGAGAGAGAGAGAGAGAGAGAAATATAATATAAGCAGCGATCGAGCATACGATCGAAATCCTACGACCGCATCGCGCTACGCGGGCGAAAGGAGAAAAGAGGCGAGGCGCGAGTTCGACGGAGATAAATTGGCTGCGATCGGCGGACGTACCGGCGAACAGCATGGATAGATTGGTGAACGCCGTGGTGCGTGGCAATTCCGCGGCGGTGGTCCCGCTGCTCTTGAGGTCGAGCATCGCTCGTCCCGTGTGCCAGCGGCCGCTGGATACGGCGGCCCTTCCACGGGATATACCTTCACCCTTCTCCTATATCCCCCGAATCGATCACGGCACCGCGAACGTCCAGACCGCTTCTGTTAACCACGTCGACGGCCAACCGTCGAGACGACTGGTCATAATCCAGGCCGATGATTGACGCCCGACCGAGAACGAAATATCAATCGAGAACTAAACTGTGTGGAGCGAAACCGCGGCTACCGGTACGATCTTTCCTCCCAGCGACGTTCAACAACAAGCGTGGCTTTCCACGTCGATCCCGTCGCCGCCGTCTACCTTCCCCGTGGCGGTGGCGAGAATCACGTCACAGTCGTGGTGGTGGTGGTGGTACGCGTGGAACGATCGTTCGAATACACGATACGTGGCGGTATACGTATGCGCGTCAAGGGCGCCGATCATCTTTGCGACCCGCTCCGAGCGACACTGCTCTTCCCTGCCCGTACGCGGACCGCTTCCACTCTCGAGGGGGCAGAGGATAATCGCGCGTCCCCGCCCTCCGCCGAACCCTTGGCCCGCGGTGGACGGTGGCCTCGCGCGCGGGGGTTGTTGGTTCGTCGACGCGGCCGAGTGGGCGGAGTTTGTCGCCCGACTTACACCCTCGCGCACGGTGAAAGGGGGCGTACGAACGCCTGCGCGCGAGGCGTTCCAAGGGGGTTCGAAAGGAAAGAGGGAAAGGTTCGAAGCGCGGAGGAGTAGGGGGAGGGGGAGGGGGAGGGACGGGAAGGTGGGAGGGGTTCTCGATGGCAGCAGGTTGCTAGGTGGCCGGGCACGAACGTACCGGACCTCCTGCACTTACCGACCGGCGTTGTCGACGACGTAGTTTGCCCCGGTAACGACGTGCCACCGGTTCCCTTCCGGAACAAACCCTCTGTGGTAACGGTGCCCGTTTACAGAGTGAACGGTCAGGGAATTTTGGCAGTAATGGGCCAAGGTGTTTCCATTATTCTTCGCCCTGGACCTTCTCTCTCTCTCTCTCTCTCTCTCTCTCTCTCTCTATCACTCTTGCCTTTCTCCTTGCCCAGCTACTACTACCGCCCATCCACCCCATCCTTTCTTTCGTTTCTTTTTCTCTTTTTCTCCCATCCGCGATTTTCTCTTCGAACTCGCTTCGTTCCAAACTACCTCTCTCGAAGAGATTTTCCTCTTTTCGCAAATTTTTCCTCTCGATCGTTATCTTTTGGAAACGGGACGGTTATATCGGTTGTATAACAGTGGTAGGGGAGCGCGTTTTAATTTGTGGAGAACACATTGGCCGATGCACGATCGATGACCAAACGCAGATTTCCCTCGTCGCGGGGAAATGGGAGGGGATTATCGTTGGTTATTTTCGACTGCAAATTATAATAATTATACCGTGGTA